ACCCACCTGGGGTAGTCAAGGATGATCTCATCTTGTGATTCTTAATTATATCTGCAGAGACCCGTTTTCCAAATAGGGTCCTGTTCACAGGGTCCAGGTGGACATGAATTTGGGGGCCATCATTCAGCCCACCAGAGAGTGTCTCTGTGGGCATGCCTAGGAGTAAAATGGGCAGGTCATAGGAAATGCACTTCTCTCCCATCCTCAGTACAGCCCTCGGAAGTAGCTGTCCTGCTTTACGTCCCCACCTACAGGGTACGAGCTTCTCTTTGTGCCACAACCCTGCACACACTCATTGGCAGACTTTTTAATTTTTGTCGATCTAAAGGATAAGAAACAGTAACTCGTTGTGGACTTACTTTGCACATCCCTAATTCCTGGTGAATTTGATCAACTTTTCATATATTTATCAGCCATGGAGTTTTCCTCTTCTATGAAGTAAGTAATTGAACACTTTGCCCAGTTTTCTATTGTGCTATTTGTGTTTTTATTGATTTTTAAAAGATCTTGATGGGGCCAGGCCAGTGGCATAGCAGTTAAGTTTGCGTGCTCCACTTTGGCGGCCCGGAGTTCATCAGTTTGGATCCTGGGCATAGACCTACACGTTGCTCATCAAGCCATGCTGTGGCAGCACCCCACATACAAAATAGAGGAAAGATTGGCACAGATGTTAGCTCAGGGCCAATCTTCCTCACCAAAAAAAAGAAAAGAAAAGAAAAGAAAAAGATCTTTATATATTCTGGATCCTAAATCTCTGTCATATGTATATGACAAATATCTTCCAATCTGTGGCTTATATTTTTATTTTTTAAATGTATGTTGATGCAACTTTTTAAACTTTAATGTAGTTGAACATATCTATAGTTTTCCTTTGTTGCTATGCTTTGTTTATGGCATTCTCCATACCCCAAATCATATTCTCTATTATTTTTATTATAAAAGTACTGAATTTTGCTTTTAATATTTAGGACTTCAATCACATTAAATTTTATGATGTGATATTGTAATCTAATGTTATTTTGTTTTCCTTTGAATGACCAGTTGTCCTAGGATAATTTATTAATCTACCATGTCATCTCTGTCATATATTTTTAAATCTATGAGTATATATATGTGAATATTCTTTTTGTCATGAAGGTGGCATTTTTAATTAAGTGCTATGGATTATTCAGTAAGTTGTGTTGTATATTTAAAAAATATTAGCATCTTATTTCACATCCTGTACCAATATAAGTTTGAGGTGAGTCAAGTATTTAATGTAAAATGAAAGCTCTGAAAGGAAATATAGGATAATAGCTGTATAGTTTCTTTAAATTAAGGCCTTTAGTGATGATAATAGATAGAAAGGTGGTGATGGTAGAACGCCCAGAGAGATGTTGTTATATAAATGAAAATTAGTGCTGAAGACTATAAATGAAATTTAGAAACAAGCTGAGATGCAGAGTGTGACATGATTAAAATTATGGACACAAGGAGGTTGGCACCAGAAAAATAGGCAAAGAACATGAACAGAAATTATGCAAAACAGGAGACGTAAACAAACAAAATAAAAATTTACTAGTATTCAGATAAATTCAAATAAAAATTTGTCACCCTCTACCAGCCTCCCCAGTAGCAGTGGAAATGGTTTATAGTAATACTCAGTGGTTCTAAACTTGGATAGTATTTTTAGATGGCAACTTGATAATGTAATAAAAACCTTAAAAAATTTGAATTTTTTTGATTCAATTCCAACTCTTAAGATTCTATCCCAAGATAATTACCATCCAACAGTGGTATCTATAAAAGCTAAAAATGGAAATAACACGTGTGTTCAGCCATAGGAATCAATTGAGGCACACAGTAACATACAGACAGTAGTACTGATGGATATTAGTATAGAGATGCCTTTTTTCTTCAATATTTGCCTATCTGTACTTTTCCCCTTATTTTTACAATGCACTTATGCCATAATTTCTGATCATTTGAAAATATAGAAATTTTTTTGCCATACTTGGGCCTTTTGCACTATGAATTTGAGAAGCAATTCTCCCATAATTTCTGGTTCTTTTATGGGTTGAGTTTTTGCGTTTTAAACTGTCAATGAATCTGAAGTTTATCCTTATGTGACATGAAGCTGTGGATGATTCTTTATAGTCTTTTCCCCCCCAAAAGACCACTATTTGTTGTGTGATACAGCTTTTCCACATTGATTTGAGGTGTTATCCTTATTATACATTCAATTCTTTGGGTCAATTTCTGAATTTTCTATTTTGTAAAGTTGACGTTTCCATCTGTATTTGCATCTAGTGTAAATTACTGAGGTTTTGTAATACCTTACAGCTTCTGGCTCAGCTTGCCCCCCACTCTTCTTTGCTTATTTTTTCCCAGCTTTTCTTGCTTGTTTATTTCTCCATATAAACCTAAGATCTACTTTGTTCAGTTAAAGGACACTTGTAAGACTTAAAAGAGAAGATGGACTTGAATTTATTAAGAAAAAAAGTAGAAAAACCATCATAAGAAAATTCAAGACAGATGGCAGAGGAAATCAATATTTGCAACTAATATTCTCAAAAAAAGGTTAATTCCCTTAATATGTAAATCAATAAGAAACAGAGAATTACCCTCCACAAATGGACGAGAAATATGAAGAATACTTGACAGAAATGGAAAGATATTTAACATTACTCATCATAAAAGAACAAATTAGAAGCACGCTGAGAGCTTCATGACCAAGAATCTAGTCCTGGAATGGCCATTTGCTGTAAACAATCAGAAACTGGGCAGAATATACGGAGCATCTGTTTCCACATGTTGGACAATAGACGAGTGGGTCTGAGGTCCCAGAGAGGAGGGAAGGTGAGCTGATCTCTGTGATTGCTCCTTTTCCTGCCCGGAGGCACCTTTCACACCGCAGCACAGGGAGGGAGCACTGGAGCATGTGTTCTTGCTGAATGGAAGAGACAGATTGAGTTGAAACTTTGAGGCGTCCGGAATTCACAGAGCAGATTACCAGAGGAGAGGGAGTTAAAGAGAGAAAGAGCTCAAGAAATCTGCAAAGGGACCCCTCAAGGCCTTGGCTGAATACTAAGCATTGTGTGTGTGGGGGGTGAAACTTGCAAGGCAGGGCCAAGAACAACTACCAGGAAGCCGTGAGGCCAGCAGTTCCCGCAGTTCACACAGGGTTGGGAGATGGCAGTTCCAACCAGCCAAAGTGGAAGGAAGCAGTCAACCTGAGGACTTTCAGGAGAGAGCCCAAGGAGTTGCTCCTTAACTGCAGGGCTAACATCATCCTAAAGACTACGCTACACACACCCAAGCAAAACATGAAAGCAGATCTTGAAAAGATGCAGCTGGTCTGCAGGTGACTCACCGCCTCTCACACAGCATCAACACTGTGAAAAGGAGACAGCAAAATCTAGACACTCAGCGTGGCAGTATTCACTCAACTGGCAGCCATCAAATTCTACCAGACATGGGTAGAAGGAGGAAGATATAACCCATAACTAGGAGAAATATGAGTCAAAAACAGACCCAGAAAGGATAGAGATGGTGTAATTATCAGACAAAGATATGAAAGCACCTTTTAAAATATGTTCAAGGATTTAAAGAACAACATAAACATAATGAGGACAGAAATGGAAGGAATGAAAAACAGCCAAAGGGAACTTTCAGAGCTGAAAACACATTCTTTGAAATGAGGAATACATTTGATGGTCTGCACGGCAGGTTTTACACTGAAGCCTCTCATTTCTTTGGTTCTTCTGATTCCTTGTCCCTTGAAAAGGGGATGATCTAGCCCCACGTACTCCAGAGCGAGAAGGAGTATGTGAGCATTGTTATGACAAATAATCGCTCCTTTGAGTTTGTGAATACCCAGGCAGTCCTGAAAATGTAAAATGCTATAGAAATGCAAGCGTTCCATACTTGGAGTAATCACTCAATTCCTGAATCTCCTAAAGTTCTACTAATAAGGGAAATCCATACAGACAGTTCAAATGTTTTTGAAAAAATAGCCAAATATATTCAATTTTATATTATCTATTATACACAGTTCTAAAATACATCTTTTGTTAATTCTTAAAATTTTAATGTGTTTTTATTACTATTGAGGTGAGTTAAGAATTACAGGGAGAAAATACTTAATTAGGAGTGTGGAAAAAAAAATTCAACTGAGTGAATTGGAGATCTTATTGGCTTTACTCAGTGAATCAGGCAGCATCCCATCTACCCAACAGAAAGGAGCTCCGGGGCCACACACTGGGAGGCTTTCATAGGTAGGAGGAGGCGGGGCAGGGAGGCGATGCAGGCAGAGTGGATTGTTTGTGGGAAGGCAGTTATCTCACTAGAGCTGACCAGGTAATTCCAGATGAGTGGGTTAAAGGTCACAGTCCTGGGAGAGGTGGAGACTGCAGGTGGGTTAGGTATTAAGTCTTGTTTGCTGATGTGGGGCTTAGCATTAAGGACTCCATTTTGGGCCTGAAGTCTCTTTTTTTTGGCGAGGAAGATCAGCCCTGAGCCAACATCTACTCCCAATCCTCCTCTTTTTTGCTGAGGAAGACTGGCCCTGGGCTAACATCTGTGCCCATCTTCCTCTGTTTTGTGTGGGACGCCGCCACAGCACAGCTTGATAAGTGGTGCGTAAGTCCGCACCTGGGATCTGAACCTGTGAACCCCAGGCCGCCGAATCGGAACGCACGAACTTAACCACTACGCCACCGGGCTGGCTCTGAAGTCTCTTTTTTGACAGGAGATTGGACCAGATTTTGTTTAAGATCCTTTGGAATCTCATGATTTTATAATTTCTGGGATTTTAAGAATTTAGGGCTTCCTGATCTCAGAGTGAATTTATTAGGAAAATAGAGATGAACGATCAATAATTGAAGATTTCTAATTTATTTCCTTTTTTTGGTAGGATTCAATTTGTTAATGCTCAATTTTATATGAGACAAATGAAATTACAGTAAATTTCTAACTTCTTAGATTTTTTCATCAAATCTATTTTTTTTTTGATCTTTCAGTGAATAACCCTATACCTTCCAATTTGAAATCAGAAGCAAAAAAGGCTGCTAAAATTCTGAGAGAATTCACAGAAATAACTTCCAGAAATGGACCAGATAAGATCATTCCTGGTAGGTAAATAAAATACATACCGTACTTTTCTAAACTTGCTTTGTTTTCTAAATCACATCTTGCGTTCCTTGACTTCAGGCCATCGACCCCCTGGGAGCAGCAAGTCCCCAGCCCCCCTTTTTCTCCTGGTGATCTTCCCAGCTGGTCTCTTGGGAGCCTTCTGCCTCCCTCTCCCGCCTCCCCTTTGGGGGCCCATGGCCCTAAACTCCACATGTCCGTCTCCACTGTGGCTTTCCTCAAACTCACCTGTTCTTATCCTCAATTTCTGAGAACTTTGCAAGCTTATCTTGCAAACTCACTAGTTAATCGCATAAATAAATTTTAATTTTGTGTTTTGCTTTTCTTGATAAAATGTTTACATTTTATGTGGTTTAAGAAGACATTGATCAATAGTTCCCAACACAGCTGCACATCAGGATTCCCTGGGTCATTGAAACACAGTCCCTAAATTCCCCCAAACCTGCTGAATCAGACCCTCGGAGCAGTGCGGCCAGGAGTGCATTTTTTTTTTTTTTTTTTTGGTAAGGAAGATTAGCCCTAAGTTAACATCTGTTGCCAATCCTCCTCTTTTTGCTGAGGAAGATTGGCCCTGGGGTAACAACCGTGCCCATCTTCCTCTACTTTATATATGTGACGCCTGCCACAGCATGGCTTGATAAGTGGTGTGTAGGTCTGCACCTGGGATCCAAACCTGCGAACCCCAGGCCACCAAAGTGGAGCGCGAGAACTTAACCACTACACCACTGGGCTGGCCCCAGAAGTGCAGATTTTTAACATGTTTCTCATGTGGTTCTCAGCAGGCAGGCTGATCGAGTAGGACCTGGTCCAGAGGTGAGCCTCTGGGAGTGATTTCTGAAGCATGTTTCATAGAGCACTCATCTCATGCAAATGAGCTTGGGCAGTGTTGCAGACTAGCCTCCCTCTTAGTTCGTCACAGTGCATGGCTGATCCTGTATTAAAATACAAACACCAGTTTAATTTCTTAAGCTAGATTTTCTGAAGTTATTTAACAGACCTTTAAATGTTTGATTTTTTTTAATTTGTTGTTATAATAATAATATTAATAATATTAATTATTGTTATGTCGCCCCAGCCACTCCCCCCCTCATAAGAAAACAGCGTTTCATGGAGCGTTCCAGTCTGAGTGCAGACTGGACCAGCAGCTGCGCTCACCTGAGAGCTTGTTAGAAATGCAGAACCACAGACTCCGCTTAGGCCTAATCAATCAAAATCTGCATTTTTCACAAGGTCTCCTGAGTTGTATTCACATACAAGTTTGTGAAGTACTGCTTTAGGACTTGAGGAAGATTCTACTAGAAAAACTGAATTTTCGGTAGCAATATTCTGAAGCAGGAGATGGCAGATATTTATTGATCTATGGTAGCATCTACATATTTCTATGTCAGGCTAGCCCAACTTATGGAGAAACTGTATTTCCTAACATAAAAACAGCTGAGTATGGATTATTCCTCACGGATTTTGTACAGCCAAATTCCGTCTTGCTTTTCTTCTTCCTTCAGACAAAGGCCACCCGACTCCTCTTCAGTGGCTGTAGCTCAGAAAATGAAAATCAGTTCACACAGTAGCCTGAGGAAGAGCTTACTCCTGAGGGTGTGCAGGTGTGTGTTATGGGGAGGAGAGGGCCCCACAGCTGCCAGAGGACCCAGCCTCATCCTTCCTAGAGCCTTCCTTGGGATGAGGAGGGAGAGGCATTATGTTTACGTTAAAACGAGGGTGATCTATTATGTAACAGAAGATAAAATCTACAAAACACTTTAAAACAAAATGCCTAGACTTTTAGATCTTCTTAGCGGTGTGGGTTCACCCTGCTCTGATTGAAGTGTTCTGAGACGTAAGTGGAACTAAATTTAGAGAGTAAATCTGCCATCAGTACATTCTAATAGCTAACTGGCAAATTACTTAGGGACTATTGGCATTTTAGTGTCCCTGAATTTGGGTAGACAATCTATAAAAATATACTTGACATTTAAAATATGTTCATTTTAAAACATACACTTTTGTTATCTGTAGCGTTTCTAAACAGAGGCAGTACTAACTGTAAAAGCGTTGAGTGAGAATGGAAGACAAGGTGTTGAGGATGATATTCTGCCAACGTGTGGTTGTAAAAACAAACCTACGTGATATGTAATGCAGCTTTCAACCTCAATACAACATATCATAACCTCTGAAAATGCAGAGCTGAGGTGCACTATGTCGGCCGCTGTCTGGGAAGCCAGACTCACTCTCTGCACTCTGCTTGGTTACGAACAACTCCACCGACTATCTGCACGCAAGCATATTCATGCTCTTGGATGAATTATCTCTGAGAGTCTGCCATTAATTTAAATTTGGAAATGGTGTGCATAATTGTGTTAGAAATTTAGTGTTTTTCTAGGAACACCTATAAAGCCTTTTGTGTGTTTGGGTATAGTGTCTGGTTTGACTTCCTTGACAGACTATTTGACTAAAGTGATGATAAATTAAACCACCTTAACAGTGATATTGGAGTCCCAGAACAATGTCCAGTGTTTAGGCTTCTCCTATTATTTGAAGGAAGTTCCATTGTGTAAATAAATCCACAGAATAGTGGGGCACGGTGTTTAGTGGGTGCATATGTTAATAACCCTCATTTTATGTAGTGAACTTCCCTGAAATGGGAATAAACCAATATTTTGTAAATTGAATTAGGTTTTCAGTGCACTAGTAGTTGTGTGTTACTCAAATTCTATAACAGATCATTTTATAAAGCTAAAACACTTTAAGTGGCAAAATCACTTAATTTTTCTGTGTTGGAATACAGATTTTCATGTTAATGAAAGGTGAACTTGACTGTGTGGCTTTAAGATCAAAGTTCTGCCACGTGCTGCATGTTGTCATTTTTTAAGTTTCTCCTTAATACTGAACTTAATAGATCTTAGTAGATCTTAATAGAACTTAATAGATCTTAGTAGATCTTAATAGAACTTAATAGATCTTAGTTTCTTTGAAAACAGTATCTCGTTTTTTAAATTATGAATTATGTTCTAAATTAATTGAAGTCTGCAAATTATTTGTCCTGCTACTGGATGTCAATAAAATCTCATCCAAATATCTCATTTATTGTGGCGGTTGCAGGATTTTTGAGCACTTATGATGTTACATTCAGCCCTGCAAAAATAACAACACGAAAGAAGAGGGAGGAGCACGCAGGCTGCAGGCCCATCTGCTACCTGACTAGGTTTCATTCCTGGCTCGTACGTGCCACTACGACTTCTCCTGAGAACGCAGGCCGCCTGTCACCAACCCCGTGTGTACCGACTGTTTAGCGCACGCTCTCTCTCCAGGCGTGTGCGTTAGGAATGCTTGCTTGCCTCTTGTCTTTGTCTTTTCAGCCCATGTAATTGCTAAAGCCAAGGGCCTTGCGATCTTGTCTGTGATCAAAGCTGGATTTCTGGTAACTGCGCGAGGAGGCAGTGGAATCGTGTTGGCGCGTCTTCCAGATGGAAGTAAGTTGTTATTTCTTCACCTGGAGGAGAAGAGAATCTTAGTTCTTTTCTTGTTCTGTTTCCATTTTGAACACATTTCATAGGGAGCATGACAGGTTCCCAGGACACTTAGAATTGCCATCCTAAGGGCTGCTCCCTTGAATGTGCACCATGGGTGTCAGATAACTGAGGGCAATGAGCCTCCCATTTCTCTCCTTTTAAAGTACAGTCACGTGTCGCCTAACGACGGGGTCGCATCCTGAGAAATGCGTTTTTAGGTGGTTTGGTCGTGTGAATATCATAGGGGGCACTGACACAACCCTAGATGGTGTAGCCCACCACACGCCTGGGCTGTGTGGTGCTGATCTTATGGGGCCACTGTCGTCTGTGCGGTCCGCTGTTGACTGAAATGTCGCGATGCAGCACATGACTGCATGAGACAAGACTCAGTGCGTAGATCTGGCTTTGTCTTGTATACGTGTTGGAATTCTTCCATGGAGAAAGTGTTAAACCTGACAATATTTGCATTTTATTGTTAAATATGAATTCTTATTCCTGAACTTCATGGTACAACTGTTTTCTTTTGTTCTATGGAAGTTGATAAGAAAATAAGGACCATGTGTAAGCTTTTCTCCTGTTCCTGTGGGAGATAATAAAAACTGAAATATTTTAAACAATATCCCCAATGCAGAATCATATCAAGATCAATATAATTTGGTTTTACTTTCTGGCGTGAAATCTAATACTTGACTTCTCAGGGATGAAATTGAAATATGTTTGACTTGAATCCCAGGAAGCAACATTTATAGTAGTATTTAAAATGTATATAGGTGTGTCATGACCAACTAAAATGCTTTTTATACCAGTTTAACATTTGCTGTTCAGTCATGTAACTGAACACATTTCTCTGTTAATAGCTATTTTTTAGTGTAGATAATTTTATTTTGGGAGAGGGCCTGGAACGTTCACTGACAATAGATGCACCTGGGTGTTTGTGGGGCACACGGCCCGTACGCGTCAGCCGATTGGATCCACCGTTTTTCCTGTGAGGCATCCCCACAGTCAAGGAGAGCCTGTCCCTGAAGCTGTGAGTCAGCGTTCATGGCTCAGTACTTGGCTATGAAACAGAAGCGACACAATTCTCTTCCTCTCAAGCATCACGTAAACTTTCATGGGCAGACTTCTCAGCAGTACAGCCAGAGACAGCGGAGGCATGTGCAGAGGGGTCCACGTCAGATGGGCTCAGGGTCGGTAGGACGCCCTTGGGGCTGCGGGTCCCACGCCGTTGACGGGTGACCATCTGAAAAGGTGGAGGAGCTGCCAGCCTCCGGGGTATCTCTCAGAGCCTCAGGCGGACCTGCCCACTGGGTTCCATGCCTACTGGGTTCCTTCTCTTCCCGTCTTCCTGAGCAGCAGCGCTCACTCTCCAGAGGGTGATTTAAGTCTCCCCAAAGGAGGCCCGGCAAGTCCCCGGATCCTGGCCAGATGGGCGGTCTTGAAACAGGGACAGTTGCTAACATAGGAAATGGAAAACAACTTGGGATTATAAAACACTAATTTCTGTCCTCAAAACTCCTCTAAGCCCAGATAGATTAGTTCTGGATATATTCAAGCAATATCCTATTGTCTAGAATACATGGTAGCATGGAAAACCAGGTGTAGGGAGTTAAGAACCATTTTCAGAAAGTATTTTATCTAGACTATCTCACCCTCCCCTCACCAAAGTAGTTTTTTTTCTAGACTTAACATACTGTTTCTATATAGGAAAAATAAGCATACAGTAATCCTGAAATGTGCCATATAGTGGCAAATGGAATGTTTGTACTTAGTTTCCAAATGTAAGGAAATTTATCTTGTTAGAATTTTAATAATCTTGAATTTATAGTCTATTTCTTGTGCTTCTACTGGGCACAAAGGGTGTCAAAGCAGTTTTTGCCCTCAGAAATTAATAATAGAAACAATTTAGTATTATGTTACTGTTAGAATGATTATAATAAACTCGTATGAATCCTTTTGCTCTCATATTTATGATAAAATTCCAGCTAAAGGCTGGAACTACAGCTCCATTTTGTAAAACATTATAAAAATGTTGATAGTTGAGATTATCAAATGCTAGTATGTTTAGTTGGTGAAAATTCAATAGTTTGGTATTATGCATGTTTATCGAGAAAGATTAAAAACGTGAATTTGAGAGTCTATGAGACCCATAATGAAGATCTAATACCTTTCAAATATTTTTAACTTAAAAAATTACATATGTTTGTTAAAAAGAATTTAAAAACATAGGGGAAAATGCCAAAGTCTCATTATTTAAAAGAGAAACACTCACATTTTAGCATTTTTCCTTCCCATATTCATGTGCCACGGGGTTTTAATCTTATCGTCATGTTTGGCCGCTTGTTTTTATTAGAATGGTCTGCACCTTCTGCCATCGGGATAGCCGGGCTCGGTGGAGGATTTGAAATAGGAATTGAGGTAAGTGGGTGACGTGTATGCACACAACTGCCACATTCTCTAAAACAGCCAGAGCTTAATACACGAAAGTCGAGAGATTTCCTACTGTTCTTCTTTTACCGCCTCTGGCAACTGTTCCCTTTTATTTTCTTGATGAAGCTCTACCTAAAACTATCTAATGTTTACCATGTGTCTTTCCTTTTCTTTCATCTAAAGTAGATGTTTTCAATCACCATTTCATCTGGTCCATCTTTAGCACGCCTGTAGAATAGATATGTCTCAGGTCTGACGAACTATAATTGGCAATTTATGGCTTGCTAATTGCAGAGTTGTGTATCTCCTCAGTGGGCAGTTGAACAAGCCAGGGCTCAGACAGTGTGTCACCCTTTGTGGCAAAGTCCAGTTTTGTTAATCTGATACTCAAATTACTTCACTTCGTATTGTTTCGTTTTATATCTTTGCTCCTAATGATTATGGCTTCCATCAAATGGACTAGAAATTGCACCAGGATATACTTGTTTACAGAGGTCTGTTACATAGGATCATCTTCTGCATGATATTAATCTTTCGTCTGTTGCTTTATTGCTAAGTGATAAATCAAATCTCCTAAATTTCTCAAATCATTTTCTTCTCAAATTGCAGTCAGTTTCTTCCTCAGCTGTCCTGTTATGAATTTGCTCTGTTGCCGTAAGTTCCCTTGGCCTTATTAGGAGGATATATTTCCACTCCTCGCCTTCCATCTTTATCTGAACTTCTTTACTTGCTGCTGCATAAATCTGTTTTACGAAAAGAGGAACATACTTTAGTTTTGCTTATCATGACTGCCTTTTTGTTGCATATTCAACCAAATCAGAGCCTTCAAAAATGTCGCCCTCCTGTGGAACATGTATTTTCACCAGCTGCTGGACCTTGCGGCCCACACTTGCAGACTGACTGGCAGTTTTCTTGGCACAGATGAGGCTGTGCTACGTGGCTGGTTGTCCTGGGTCACAGCCCAGTCTGTCCACTTCTGACTCCATGCACGGCCGAGGGGCATGCTGTGGGGATCTCTCTCAAATACGATTGATTTCAAAAATGATGAGACACTCAGTAATAATGACTGCCGTAAGTTTAGTATATTAAAGATTAAAAATGAGAGTCTCCATGATGATTCTTTGGAAATTGTGGATTTGGGGCCATAGTTCACGTTAATAGCCTTGAAAAGCAAGTACAAGTAAAAGGTAGTCCTATCATCCAGTAAATGACATAGAAAGATTTAAAATCAACACCCTGTAAAATGATCACTTGGTTATCTTCCAAAGGCGACATGGTACAGCGCTGTTGGAGAAGACGCCCAGGCTTCGGCTCTGACCTGAGCACCTTCCAGCTGTGTGGTCTTCACCACCTCCCTTTTCCTCTCTGCACCTTAGTTTCTTCAACCGTAAAGAGAGAGGAAAAGAGCCTTCCCTCTGGGCTTATTAAATAAATGAATTTATACATAAAAAACACTTGGAATGGCATGAACTATTGTAATTTTTATTGTTAATATCTTTTTTATCTTTGCAATACTTATTTATTCTTGTGATTTATAGAAACTTTTGATTGCAAAGCTTACCCTCATGGGAAGTATAGAAATTAACTCTGGAAATGTGTTTAAATAACGTACATGGAAGATAATTATTAACTTTTTAAAATATCTGTTTCACGTGGAGATTAGAAGACTGTCCTGGAGTTGGTGACACACAGATCCGTCCCTGAATGTGGCTGTGATGGTACAGCCGTCACGCACTTTTCAGCGTCAACAAGTGTAGGTGTAGCTCTCCGGGAAGATTCTCGGGTCTTATCACGAGCCTGTGTCACCTCCTTTCATAACCACTGTCCTCACACAGCACTTCCCCCTGCTCTGTCAGGACCTGTAAGGAAGCTGGAGAATTCTCAGGATGTGGCGGGTATGACACGGCAGCTCCCATGACGGAGAGTGAGGGAGAGTGGGCATCTGCCGGAGGACGGTGTTGCCAGCAGCAGCTCTGGCTTCCAGGAAAGAGGCAGCAGCCTGTGGTGGATGGGGCAGGAGGACAGACGTCCTCAATTAGGGAGAGGAATGAGTCCAGCCCCTGGCTGACTTGGGCTCCTCTTCTTCCAGCGCCTTGCCGCTGTCCTCACGGAGCTTCTGACACGCGGTAACCTGTTACCCCTCCTGTGTGCCCCTTACTTAGATGTGAGCACCTCGAAGGCGAAGACTTTCCTTCACACCTGCCCCTCAGACTGGCCAAGGATCAAACGCCAAGTAGACACCCAAAATGATCTCAGTGTCTTTTGTTCTGTTAACCCTTCTCTTTTTGCTGAGGAAGATTGGCCCTGAGCTAACATCTGTTGCCAATCCTCCTGTTTTTGCTGAAGAAGATTGGCCCTGGGCTAACATCTGTGCCCATCTTTCTCTACTTTATATGTGGGATGCCTGCCACAGCATGGCTTGATAAGCGGTGCATGGGTCTGCGCCTGGGCTCTGAACCTGCGAACTCGGGCTGCTGAAGTGGAGCGTGCAAACTTAACCACTTTGCAACCTGGCCAGCCCTGGATCGTTTTTTGTGTTGTTGTTGAGTTGTATGAGTTCTTCATATATTTTGGAAATTCACTCATTGTTGGATATGTGATTGCAAATATTTTCTCTCAGTTGCTGGGTTGTCTTTTTGTTTTATTGATGGTTTCCTTTGCCTTGCAGAAGCTCTTTAGTCTGATGTAGTCCCATTTGTTTATTTTTTCTTTTGCTTCCCTTGCCTGAGTAGACATGGTATTTGAAAAGATACTACTAAGACCAATGTCAAAAGCGTACTGCCTATATTTTCTTCTAGAAGTTTTATGGTTTCACATCTTACATTCAAGTCTTTAATCCATTTTGAGTTAATTTTTGTGTGTGGTGTAAGATAATGGGCTACTTTCATTCTTTTGCATGTGGCTGTCCAGTTTTCCCAGCACCATTTATTGATAGACTTTCCTTTCTCCATTGTATGTTGTTGTCTCCTTTGTCAAAGATTAGCTGTCCATAGATGTGTGGGTTTATTTCTGCACTTTCGATTCTGTTCCATTGATCTGTGTGTCTGTTTTTGTGCCTATACCATGCTGTTTTGATTATGATAGCTTTGTAGTGCATTTTGAAATCAAGGATTGTGATACTTACAGCTTTGTTCTTTTTTATCAGGATTGCTTTGGCTATTCGAGGTCTTTTGTTGTTCCATATAAATTTTAGGATTCTTTGTTCTGTTTCCGTGAAGAATGTCATTGGGATTTTGATAGGGATTGCATTGTATCTGTAGATTGCTTTAGGTAGTATGGACATTCTACTATGTTGATTCTTCCAATCCATCTGTGTGGAATATCTTTCCATTTCTTTATGTCATCATCAATTTCATTCAATAATGTCATAATTTTCATTGTATAGGTCTTTCATCTCCTTGGTTAAATTTATTCCTAGAAATTTTATTCTTTTTGTTACGATTGTAAATGGGATTGTATTGTTGACTTCCCTTTCTGCTAGTTGGTTATTAGTATATAGAAATGCAACTGATTTTTGTATGTTGATTTTGTACCCTACAACTTTGCTGTGGTTGTTGATTATTTCTAATAGTTCTAATAGCATCTGTTGTAATTTCTCCTCTTTCATTTCCAAATTTTATTTATTTGAGTCTTCTCTCTTTTTTCTTAGTGAGTCTGGCAAGGGTTTGTCAATTTTGCTTATCTTCTCAAAGAACCAGTTCTTAGTTACATTGATCCTTCCTATTGTTTTGTAGTCTCTATTTCATTTATTTCTGCTCTGATTTTTATTATTTCCCTCCTACTTACTTTAGGCTTTGTTTGTTCTTTTTCTGGTTCTTTTAGGTGTAGTTTAGGATTACTTATTTGAGATTTTTCTTGTTTGTTGAGGTGGGCCTGTATTACTATAAATTTCCCTCTTACTACTGCTTTTGCTGCATCCTATAAGAGTTGGTATGATGTTTTCTCACCTTCACTTGTCTCCAGGTATGTTTTGATTTCTCTTTTGATTTCCTCATTGATCCAATGGTTGTTCAGTAGCATGTTGTTCAGTCTTCGCATATTTATGACATCCCCCCCTTTTTTCTTGTATTTCTAGTTTCATAGCATTGTGGTTGGAAAAGATGCTTGATATGATTTTAGTCTTCTTAAATTTATTGAGGCTTGCCTTGTTTCTCAGCATATGGTCTATCTTTGAGAATGTTCCATGTGCACTTGAGAAGAATGTGTATTCTGCGGTTGTTGGATGGAATGTTCTCTATATATCTAGGCACATCTGTTCTAGTATTTCATTTAAGGCTGCTGTTTCTTTGTTGACTTTCTGTCTGGGTCATCTATCCATTGACATAAGGGGAGTGTTGAGGTCCCATACTGTTCTTGTTGCTGTCAATTTCTCCCTTTACGTCTGTTAGTAGTTGCTTTATATACTTCGGTGCTCCTGTGTTAGGTGTATATATATTCATAAGGGTTATGTCTTCTTGGTGGGATGTCCCTTTTATCATTATTTAATGCCCCTCTTTGTCTCTTGTTATTTTTATCTTGAAATCTGCTTTGTCTGATAATGGTATGGCAACACGTGCTTTCTTTTGCTTGTTGTTTCCTTGGACTATTGTCTTCCATCCCTTCACTCTGAGCCTATGTTTGTCTTTAGAGCTGAGATGTGTTTCCTGGAGGCAGCATATTGTTGGGTCTTGTTTTTTAATCCATCCAGCCACTCTGTGTTTTTTGATTGTTGAATTCAGTTCATTTACATTTAGAGTGATTATTGATATATGAGGGCTTAATACTACCATTTTATCGCTTGTTTTCCGGTTGTTCTATATTTCCATTGCTTCTTTTCCTTTGTATTTCTGACTGCCATTTCAGTTTGGTGGTTTTCTGTGATGGTTTTCTCTTTATTTATGATTTGTGACTCTGCTGTGATTTTTTGTGTAGTGGTCACCATGAGGTTTGTATAAAAGATCTCATAGATGAGCTAGTCCATTTTCTGATAGCCTCTTATCTCCATTAGC